AAGGAAGGAGGGAAGGATGGAAGGATGGAAGGATGGAAGGATGGAAGGATGGAAGGATAAATGGAAGGATAAATGGAAGGATGGAAGGATGGAAGGATGGAAGGATGGAAGGATGGAAGGATGGAAGGATGGATGCAAGGATGGAAGGATGGAAGGATGGAAGGATGGAAGGAAGGAAGGAAGGATGGAAGGATGGAAGGAAGGAAGGAAGGAAGGATGAAGAAAGGAGGAAGGAAGGAAGGAAGGAAGGAAGGAAGGAAGGAAGGAAGGAAGGTAGGAAGGAAGGAAGGAAGGAAGGATGGAAGGATGGAAGGATGGAAGGATGGAAGGATGGAAGGATGGAAGGATGGAAGGATGGAAGGATGAAGAAAGGAGGAAGGAAGGATGGAAGGATGGATGGAAGGATGGAAGGATGGAAGAAGGAAGGATGGAATGGATGGAAGGATAAATGGAAGGATGGAAGGATGGAAGGATGAAAGGATGGATGGAAGGATGGAAGGATGGATGGATGGGATTTTCGGTATCTTGCTGGTTAGTTTTCTTTTTGGTGGTTATTAAAAGGCAAACCAAAAGGCCAACAGGATACCAACCACCATTTTGAGAAACCCTGTCTGATTTGAGTCTTGGTTGAGCCGGGCGACGGCCACGACTCGGAGAGCTTTCCATGATCTTGAAGAATCAGGAAGCCAAAGAAAGTGGCGAACAACAAGAACTTCCTAAAAAGCACAGTGCGACATCCTTCATTTTGATTCCTCTAGAAGGAAACCCGAAATGCAAGTCTGAACCCTCAGAATGCTCACTTCAAACAAAGTCTTCCCCCCACACCCTTCAAATTCCAACAGCACCACCCTCCAATTCCCCACCCCTCCCCGCCTTTCTTTGTGGACTTGGACATCCCAACCGGACCTCCCAACCAGCAACCGCCCCCCCCGCCCCCCGATGCTCCACCCTTCCTCGGCCCGAGGCGCGTGGCGGGTCACGAAGGGCACGGAGCCCTCCATTGGCGGCTCCACCGCCGCCGCCTGGAAGGCCCCCGCCAGCCGCTTCAGCCTGGCGGACGCGACGTGCGGAACGGTCGGCATCCCCGGAGGGCTCCCGCGCGAGAGGAATTCTTGTGGACGGCTGCCAGTCGGCGTCGGAGATGTTCGGGGAAAGAGCGAGAGGACTACGGTGGACGGTTGCCAGTCATCCTTTTCGCACCTTAAGGATGAAACTCCATGCTTGTGGTTTGGTAGTGGACATTCCCGGATGGGAAACGCGAGGGAAATACGGCGGATGGACGAACGGTGAATTCCACAAAGTGGATGTCTTCCCAGTCATTCATTTCTTACCAAATGAGTTGCCATGGTTGAGTCCAGAACGTTTGTTGGTAGTTTCCTTGGGGAATCGAATCAGAAACCAGGGTTTCTGAACGGTGGTGCAAAATAGACTTCGCCCATCCAAAGTATACGTATATATATATATATGAGTGTTTCCCAAAATGGTGGACCGTTCAGAATACCCATCTAGCGATCAATGGCTTTCCTCGCGGATGGCACATGCCGAAAGTGGGAGGACCAACCTCAAAAGTTCTCAAGGTGTAGGGATGGGTCCGAATTGAAACTTGAAGTTCCCTGGATCCCTGGATCCCTCTCTCTGTCTCTCTCTCTCTCTCTCTCTCTCTCTCTTTCGGGTATATGTCAAAATTGCACCACAAAATGGGTGATGTCCCTTCGGTGTCCATTTAAACCAACCAAAAAAAAGACATGGAACTTGACGTTCGGGGGGTCCTGATTTGGACTATCTTCCTTTTCAAGGGCCCCTTGTCGGGTTCCATGTTCATTGGTGCGGGGGTAGCTGTCACCTCGAAACCCGACCACCCGACCACGCCCCCGCGTCCGCCTGAGCTCAACGTGGGGCTCCGGGTAGGCGCCGCTGGGGGCGTCCCCCGACTCGGGGCCGATGGGCAAAGGCTCCACCAAGTCCGAGGGCGAGATGAGGAAAGCGCGGGCCTGACACGAGATGCATCTAGATGGCACCAATCCCCCGGTTTCTGTGGGTTTGTTTATGGCTTGGCAAAGAAGAGGTGGAATTCTGAAAAATCTTTCACCCAAGCTTAGCTTCTTTGCAACAAGAACAAGAGGAACCAGCTAGAATTTGAAAACAAGTTGAAAAGAATTGGACATCAATCTCTAACACATGGAAAGGGGAGACTGGAAGTAACATGGGTGTTTCTTCAAATTAGGAGCCCCCCCGGCAGGTGCTTGATGCTCGTTTGCTCATAAGCAGCCAAACCAGCATTTTGCTGCTGTGGTCATGTTGTCATGTAGTTCTCAAGCGCCCCACAACCCCATGAAGTATGTTTAGGCTATTGTCTGAATATTGCCTACAGAGAACAGAATCAAAGAAGGAACATGCTAAGGAAAAAACATCTAACATAAGCAGGAATGCCATCCCCGCTTCGTGCGGTCCGGATAATCCAAGGTTGACGTCAGCGAATGCGCAGCGACTCAAATCATCCCTTTCACGTCTTGACCCGTTAAAAGGACACTAATTAGTCCAAACCAGGACCCCCCGAACGTCAGGTTCTATGTGAAAAGGAGGGGAACACGGTCCAAACCCTGACCCCCCCAAACGTTAGGTTCCATGTCAAAAAGGGTGGGAGGGTAACAACACCCGAATCAAAAAGGCGAAGCAAAATATCGCGAGCCTTCCACTCTACAAGCATCCGGACCCAAACATGTCCGACGGTTCCCACCCCGGGCTTGAAACGTCCCGATTTGTTTATTTTATTTATGGGCACAACTTTCGTTCTGAAGATGGCGTGTCCGTCCGTTTTTTAGAGTATTCTGGGGGTTGAAAAAGAAACCAAAAGGACACCAGTCCGTTTTTTTAGAGTATTCTTGGGTATGATAAAAGAAACCAAAAGCACACCAAGCGTTTGGGTATGCCTGTGAAGGCTCTTGTGAGCTGGAAATTGAGTGGAGGGTCGGAAGCTGCTGTACCACCAAGTATCTGAGCTCTCACGACTGCTACAAATGCTGAGGGCCAACCAACTGTTTACACATACTTTTAGTCCGATCGTTTCAGGCTTTCCTTTGTTTCAAAGGGTATCAGGGGCTGGTTGTTGAGGCATATTTCGCAGGGCTGGCGAAAAGATTTCCTTGACCAAATGGAAGTTTGTTTGTACCTTGGGGCGCATTCCATTTAAGTCTAGCCCGTTGAACCCCGATCAGTCACACTGCTTGAGCAAGCCCAGTAGAAAAAAATAATATGTCCAGTACTGATAGATTCCCTTTAAAGCCAACGGGGAAAAATACAACATGTTCTTGAGCAAATGGAAGCAAAGTGCCAGGAGACCTTGTAGTCTGTTTAACCGTTCAAAGGCTCGGTTCTTGGGCAACGATTGCAACTCAGAACAGAGTAACCCCAAAATAAAATGATGCTTCCAGCTACGTCATTCACATCAACTTGCTTGATATGGTTACAAAAAACTATGTTTTTTGCAGCCCCTTACCAAACATGAACAAAAGCAAACAACAACAACAACAACAACTCGCCAAGAATCTAAGTAGTGTGTGTGTGTATATATATATATATATGTGGGTGGCGGAACGGGCTCCACACTACTGTTACACGTCAAAGTGAATATCACTTCACAAACAGCGGACCATGGGACAAATGATTGCCTCATTGTGATGAAATGATCTCAAAGTTTAAGCACTATTTTGACCGCGGTCACCAAACAAAAAAAGCAAATAACAGTTTAGTAGTTCGGTTTCGGGCAAGTCTTGTCAAAGCGGTGCAAACCGAATCGATCAGTTTTCCAGCTTGGCTTTCCTTTCCAACATCTACTGAATGTACTGTGAGCCTTGACATGGCAAAGTCGGGCATACTAGTAGACCGTGTCCGGGCTGCCCTCAGATCCCCCGCTAAACGTCTAACTTTTAGTGGTTATATGAAAGCTTCTTTTTAACAGTGAAAAACAAGCTAAAAGACTAAGGAACCGGATGGCTGGGAGCCACCAAGGTGTCTTGCAGAAAACCTCGAAAAGGACCGCCCCACACCAAGTGCCCAGGTAAGGCTTGGCCTCGGCGTGCATCATGAGGTGCGTCTTGTCGGCTGGAGCCTGTCGAAATGCCGAAGTTCTTGGGGTAAGTTCGTGAGACGTGTCGAGGGCCAACAGCTAACCCATGATTCATGAAATCCTGTGGAGTGAGCAAGTGAAGGGCAAAAAAAAGAGGAAAGATGACAAGAAAGAGATCGATGAGCACGGTTCTCCAGAAAGTACAAGAAACTGAATGAAGAGACGGGGAAATCCTTGACAAATATTCTTTAGAAAAGAACATGATTGACAATTGTAAATCCAAAAAGCGATCGATTGCCATTACAGCATATTATGGAAGCATAATTATAGAAATAAAAGACTGGAAAACACACAACCAAAATACTTCTATACAATGCGCAGAATAAAGCTGTAAATCATAAAATGCAAATGTCTAGGGTTCTAAAGTTTACAATGCATACACAGAAACATATTAATCCTAAGAGATAAACAAGATGAAATGAGAATGGCTGCGCAAATAATCTGGGGTGTCCTTGGACTAGAAAAGTCTGCATGTGTTGGCAGCAAAACAAGCACCTTCGCTCCGACATTCCGTGTCGCGTCTTTGTTTCGCACTCCAAACACCTCCAAACGAAGCCACAACGACTTCACCAAGTATCCAAGTGCGCTTGGCTGTTGGAGAGGCCAGGTTAAACCTCTTTTGGAAACATGCACTAGTGGATAGAAACACACAAACATGTGATTCTGAAGGGGTAAGCCAAGCATCCGCACAACACATTCGCCAAATCCATGCAAACGTCAGCGTGGTCAAACTAAACCATGCTTGCCGAGATCTGCGCGCTAACTAACGGTCACAGCAAATGGGGAAGCTCATCCGCAAGCAGAGATTGGCCAAGGGAACTGTTGGCCCGTCACCCAACGTCCGGCCGGCACCCAACAAGTTTGCAAATTAGGA